ACTTTTTTTATTTTGTTTACTTTTTTTAATAATATTAAATATGTATCTTTTATATTGGTTTGGTATGTTTAGAAAAAAATTAATAAAATCCTCTTGAATTAGTGGTTTCAAAATTATAAGATGATGTTATTGTTTAATAACACCATCTAGAGCTACTACTAATATAGTTTCATTATTCTTTTTTCTATTTGTATAATAAAAACAGTAATTAGTTATTTATTCAATAAGAAATATAAAAATAAATTTTATAGTGCAGCTGTGAAAAAAATAAATAAATATATTGGTAGAAATATATAAAGTGCATGCCTAACTCAATAGTAAAAAGCTTTGTTAAGAGAATAAGAGGCTATTACAAGACAAAAAATCTTAATAAAGAGAAATACAGAGCTAGAAACATGTAGCTCATGTTTATTTTCAAAAAAATTGTCTTTATTTATTCTAAAATGATTGTTTTATGAAGAATTAAGGAAATATGTTTACTAAATACAATTTTTTTTAAAATGAAAAACAAGGTATTTGTTTCACTTAAATTGAAAGTATTAAAAGAAATTATCATGAAATAATACTTAAACAAACAAAAATTTTATTTTTATCGTAAAGAATTTTTTTTAAAAATCATTTTAGTATTTTTCATTTTTTACAAAAAATGAAGAAATAGAAAATGCACCTTTTTAAGGAAATAATTTTCATTTCTAGTTTATAATGCATTTTCTTGAGCTTTTTATTTTTTTAAAAAAATTAAAAACTATTTTTTTCCATAAATAAACACAACTAAACATTTCTATTTCTATGTCCATTTTATAAATTTATTTTTATAAATGTTTCTTTTCCACTCCAAATCATTGTTGTTTGAAACTAATAGACTCGATTAGTCTGTGGTTGACTCGGAAAACCGAGACAAAACTCAACTATCAACCATTGCTTTTTTTAAAAAAAATTCTAATGATATTTTTTAAATTTATTAGTCTTCAAAAAAAAATTATCGACCCTCCCGTTACCAGATAATCGAGTTAGCTTGTCCTGTCATTGAAAGGATTAGTTCGTCTGCCCTTGCCAGCAGCCCAGCACGGCCAAGGAGGCCTACCGTGCATTCATAGCTTCAACAGGTCGTCTGATTCTAAAATCATGTTTCATTCGACTGAAATATGGCCGGCCCTCTTCAACACAACCAGAATAAGAGCAGGATGATAGCATGGCGACAAAGATGACTTTATTTAGATGTATCCCATCAGCAAGCATCTCATCAAACAGTTGAAAACATTTTTTTAGCTTGGCCATAGATAGCAGAAGCTGAAATCTTAACTCCCCGTGTTACAATGTCTCTCTGGGGCATTTTCTGAAATAGTTCATAAGCACAACACTCAATGCTGCCACACCTTGCATACATATCGATGAGAGCAGTACTGAGTTTAGTGCTCTTAAGAAATCCAGTTTTATCAATGTATGCCTGTATCCATCTTCCCTGATGCTAAGCTCCTAATTGTCCACAAGCAAAGAGCAAAGTCACTGCTTCATTTGGCAGGATATGTGAAACTATCGTATCTTGAAAAAGAGCTAATGCCTCAGCATGCATATCATTCTTTATATATCCTGTTATTAATGCACTCCAAGATGCTGCATCTTTTGCTGCTGTGTTATCAAACATTTTTCTGGCCTTGTCTACATGACCCTCGCTCAAGTAACCTGAAATCATGGCATTCTTAGGAAGCGTATTCTCTTCTGAGAATTCTCCAAGAACACCTTCTGCGCCATCTATGCTTCCTGAATTTGCGTACACAAGAATTAGGGAGCTATGGATGTGGGTATCTGGTACTATTCCTGCCTTAATTATCTGGCAATGCACATGTTTTTCTTCAAAAAGAGCTTTCAAATGGAAGCATGCTTCAAGGACAAAGGTTTGTAGTGTAGTTGTCTGGTAAAAGGTAGCCAGGTAGGAATTCATCATACAGTAACAAAGATTCATGAGGAAACTTACCCATTGTTAGGCGCTCTAAAACACGTCAGGAGAAGGTATTCTCTCAAGATCGAACAGCATAATAAATCTGCAACATTGTAACACAAGACTCGAGGAGCCTTCTATCACTCAAGGGATGACGACCAACAAACTGCGCATGTAATTATTTTACTTCCTTTTAAGTTGTGGCACCTTTGAAGTGAGATAATAGTAGCCGGTGTTCTAATTGAACAAGTGAGGAGTAGATTTCCCTCCATGAGAAGAGGAAAGATTGTTAGCGGAGAAGCGATGTGGTAGTTGCAATTGCTGATATTGAGGAGGCTATTTCAATTCCCACAGCTGCAACCAATGCTGCATGCAGCGAGTTAAGGATGGAGTTGTCTTCCACAACCGGCTCAAACTTGAAAATATCTCACAGATAGGCAAAGATGACAGTTGTTGCTGATATAAAATGGTTTTTTGATAAACATGGCATCATCTATTAATTGCCACGAACAAAATCAATGGATGAAAGTGATTCATACGAAGACAATACCATCTCAAGCACGCAGCATAAGGGCACGGGCAATCTTGGCATGAAAAGGGCAAGTTGATATCTGAAGAAACAAATTGGGGGAAACTTTGAATTTATAGATTGAAGTATTTTTAAGGGGAGGAATACATATTTTGATTCTTTTCTCCAGTATGCCCAAATAAACAATTTTAGAGGTAGCATCTACCGAATGCAATGAGAATTTTCTCTCTCCCAAGGTTGAAAGTAATTATTGGGGGGGGGGGGGGGGGGTGATAAAAAAGCATTTTTAAGGCCTTCAAAATAATTAAAATAACACCACTATGAAACCAACTAAAAGAATCAGCAACAAGGGAGGACCATGCATAATCTGACTCCCATTTTTGTCACTGGCCAGTTCTGATGGAGGTGGTGCAGGGCATTCAAGTCCCAGCTTCCCATCCTTACATTCATTGGCAAAAAGACCAGGAGGATATTTCCCATTAAGGTTAATGTAGCAGAACATGATTGATGCACATTCATTGGTCAAGTCATTAATCAAATCTACGTAAGGACAGGCAAACTCCTTAAATGATCCACAACAGCGACTGGGAGGATACTGAGGTCCTTTACATTGGCTTGTGATGATTGTGTAAAGTTTACAGGGCAAGCTGCAGCTAAAGCAAGACAATAAATTGCCATCAGCATGCTATCTAAAGCAGAATGATACAACCTATTAAAATCTGGAAAACAATTGTTGGCTTCTTTGGCAAGACTAGAACAACATTGTGTAACCTATGTTTCTCTAATTGTATAAAAAAACTGCAAAAACAAACCCTCAAGAAAACAAACACAATATGTTGCGTCTAAAAAGAACAAATCAACAATGGAGAATCATTGACATGCATTCAGAGATCAACAAAATATGCAGTTATCATTTGGATATATTGTGCTAGCTGATCATGACAGAACCAAACACAATGACCAGAATTGGGAAGGCGTGACCAGCTTGCAAGGTCATATTAACAGCTCTATTCGAGAATGATACAAATCATCTCCTCCCCTATGTAATTCCTTTGAACTTGACTTTCACTGTGTGATAGGTGGGTTCATGAGAGTAAAGAATCAATCAGCGAGAATTTGCAGACCACACTAATGTGACCATGAAGTTTCAGTCTTAAGGCTTCTAATGAACACTTTTGTGATCTTTTAACGTCTCTCATTGATCTGCTTGAATCCAGTCAACTGTAAACTTACAAAGTCATTCCTCTTACAAATCCCATCACCCCAATGCTTCTAGACTGCTAAATAGATTGAAACTAAGAACCAACCAAACAACAAGGATATTCTTCAAAATACTCAGTCCCGTTAGCTGTCACAAAATCTTATAATGTTTAATCTTCAAAATTTCCCAAGTGATTTTCTGACTTCACTAACACTGGACGCACCAGCACGTCCTTGAGGGAAAAACAAAAAAGGAAGAAGAGGAAAAATCCAAGTATGCTTCCAATCACCAAGCTTGCAAGTGTATATACTGTTTAATTGTTATCAAATAAATAAGAAGTAATATCTCCTCCAAATTCACAATGAAATGCATGCATGATGATTTGCAGAGGAAGATCTGCAACATTGAATACTTAAGTTGTTGCAGTAATGCAAAAGTAATCAAACTTGTGTAGGCACTTCAAAGAAATTAAAATAAGTCAAGCTGTGAAAGAGTAAAACAAACTATGGCTCGGAAATCCACAGTCGCTGTGTTGACGGATCAACAGTGGAAATGAAATAGTACTTGAATGACATCGATGATAATAACTTTCCACAAGAGCTTTTAGCAAACACAACTGGGTAATAAAGATTACTGTCCTTGTGGTTTTATCATATCCAAAAGAATATCATGAGGTTGAAGTGATGATGAAATTTCCTTTAGAAACCCTACCAAAAGGACTTGACCTTTGAGTACCAGAGGAGAGAAAACTAAAGATAAACCTAGACACCTCAAGCATGATTGTTAACTCAAACAAAATGGGGCACATAACAAAAGAATAAAAACTGGAATCCCTTAGATCACAGAAGAAAGCATTATTGTGATCACAATCTAGAGAACCCAAAACAAAATTTGACCAAAATTGAGCAAATAAGTAGTTAAAAAGGCAATCTTTCTTAGTCTGAAGAAGATTCCTGCCAGTAAAGCATGAGATTCAAAGACACCATCTACATCCAAATAAACAAAGAAAGACACAGCATAAAAAATGGATCTTTGTAACAAAAATCAAAAGCAAGGATACTTGAAAGTGAAAATAAGTACCTGAAATGAAAGTAGAAGCAAAAGAAGGAGAAGCAAAGAGACCCGTCAAGAGAAAGAAGAAGAAGACAATTCCACAACAGTGATTCAACCCCATCTCCCTTGTAAAGTTTCAATCTTTCTACGTTCCTTTCTTTCTATCTTCACTTCAATAAATCCATCTCCTCAACCCTTGGATTAGCAATGTTTTTCAAGATCTAGACAGAAACTTTACTTACATGGATTTAACTAGTTAATAAAATCAAGCCTGAATCCCACAATGTCAGATGAAGTAGTAATTGTAAGAAATAATACAAAGAGGGATCAGCAGGTCCGCCTAAGATACGTGGTACACAAACAACATGATGAATAATACAAGTGCAGGCATTGCACGCACCCTCCTTATTCCCCACACTACGAGGCCCAATTAATTATATATATCGTATGTACAATATTGTTGTTTATTGAGGTAAAGCTGCTTATTTAACACAGACTCAAAAAAGCTGGTTAAGGTATTCAGCTACAGTAGTGTATTTGACATCAGGATAAAGCTCAGAAGCCTTTACACCAAACGATGGCTCAATCTCGAAGTTGGTCTGATCTCCTTTCACAAACAAAGAGTGACAAATCGATAAAATCACTTTGCGTGGACCTGAAGCTTCTGCAGCGAGAGAACAGAAGTAATGTTAAATTTCCTGATTAGTTCACCGTGTTAATTTTGAACAACTGAAACTAAGAACAACAGTATCTCTAAAAATTATTCAACTCGAGGCGGCAGAGCCCGAAGGATCGATGAAATGGATAGATTTTCCTCTGCCAAGGTATGGCAGTTTGCATTCGAAGTCAATGAAATGATATATAATCATACCTTGAATATTCTTCAGAAGTTGCTCCTCGTGAACATAGATCCGTTCAATTTTTTTCCCTACCTTCTTCTCCCACAAAGAAACAAGATCATTGGATGAGATGATGTTGGATGGGGGTTTAATGAAGAGGGTTTTGTTCACTGCTCTTGGATCATCCACCGCTTTGATAGTATATGTGGCAATATCATCTTCCTTGTTGAAAACCACTATTGATCAAAATATGAAACTGTAAGATTCTGGGAAGCATAGACCAGCTTGTTGCAGGCTACTATATGCCTTGCAAAAGTTGCCTAGACTATCCACAGGCCATAATGAACGAAACAATCCAGGGTGGGCAGGAACTGATTTCAAGGTCAGCCAATCATCTAGTAAAACACTGTAATCGAATACTAAAAGATGCTATTTAATACCTTTGGTATCTCCATCACCCAAAATGACGACTTTATCTCTAGGTGAGGCAGGAGCTCCAGGTTGTTTCAATGTCGTTTCTGCATTGCTACCAATGCTTGAAGCCTGGACATGTGGATGGAGATACAGCCACAAACCCCCAGACCTAGAGTGGTTCAAAGCTGGAAGAAAGAAACCCGAAAAGGAGTTTGATGCCACATAAGTGTATGGAATTCCTTCAGCCTCAATAGCTCGTCGAATTTTGGCCTTTGTAGCAAATCCTGTCTTTGCGGGTTCAACAGCATGCGCTCTATCCACATCATTTCCAAACTCTGATGGGAAAAATCTCTGCAACAGAAACAGTTCTTCTTAGCTATCCTGATTTATTCGAGAACTATTAAAGTTGATTCGACCAAGCAGTTTTCTTTCACTTCTTTTGAAGTTACAAGGAGACCTGAACCTTGGTCCGGTACGAGGCCGGAATGACAACATGCCAGTTAAGCTACAATTCATCAACTCAAACAAGTATAACTTCATACCTTAATATTTCCAGCTTCTTTAATGGCTGCAATGATCTTGTCTTGATTATATAACTGATCGTGAGCAACGGTAGATATCACAACATCCACTTGCTTAATTGCCTTCACCAAACTCCCATGATCAGACAAGTCTCCCTAAATATTAAAACAAAAAACAAGCATAAATAAATAACGTCAAACCAATGAACAAATTGACCATGCAATGTATTCATAAACGCAACATCTGGCAGTAACCTTGTAATGTTTGTCGGTTTAAAAAAAAATGACTTACAAGTAGGAGATTGACACCAAGATTCTTGAAGTTGTTAATGACAGTGGATTTAGCGGGGCTAGAGAGAGTGGACTTTCTGATGAGAACAAAAGTTGGGTGGCCTGCCTTGACACTTGCTTCTACAATGAATTTTCCAATGTATCCTGTGCCTCCTATGAACAGAATCCTGCTTCTCTCTGCCATTGCCCAAGGATTTCTTTCTAAAGAGAACAATGTTTAAAGAAGCTTGGAGGAGTTAAAAAGATAGAATCACCTATTTATAGAGGGATTCTGACGCGGGTGGTGATGTTTAAGCACCTGGCTAGGGTCAAGCCTGCTGTTTTTTCATGGTGGACGTATGAGAAACTTCAAGGTATTGATGTTGTTTGATAATTGAAAAATATAACGAAGATTGACTCTCTCTTTTTTTTCCAAGGAAAAACACGTGCTAATCACTTCTTTTGTATTGATAATGGCCTTTGAATTTTGATTGATTAATTGTTTTTTAGTTTTATTTTAAAACTTGAGTCAAGTATATATTTTTCTATAATTTTACAAATGTTAAATTTGATGTATTTTTATTCTTAAAAAACATTATAGATAACGTTACCAAATGTAATAGAAATCTACGTAATTGCTAGTGTCAGACTTTGCATCCTACTTCTGAATCTTCTGGTCCTTTCTTAATTAAAAAAGACAATTTTGTTCTTTATAAATCCACACCTGACAATTTCATTCTTTGATTTATTATTATTATTATTATTATTATTATTATTATACTTTATTAACTCAAAAGGCGCTCGAGATTAAAGGGAGCGTGTACGGATTGTTCAGTCTCAGTGAAAATCCTGTTCACAGCATGACATTGAAAAAAGATAACAATGGAGAGGGTGACGCAGCCCAATCCAAATTAAATTATAAAAATAAAACAAAAAACATATTTATCTTTGAAGTAATAAGATATTTACATTCTTTAAATAAATGTTTTTACAAGAAAGAAAAGTCATATATTGAATTAAAAAAAAGAATATAAAATCTGAAATTAACCCGGAAATTTCAGACACAGAATGAAATATAACATAACCAAATAGGAAGGCTTCTTTTGAAGGCCTTTCCAAATTCAGCAACTGACTCTTGTAGAACCGGAACTGTGTAACTTCCTTTCTACTCGACTAGATGTCTAATATGAACTTCTCGTTTTAGAGAAAGAAAGACGGTGGAAGGACAGCATTCAAACAAAGAATTTCCTGTTATGATCACGCCTTTTCTTGAGCTTGGCTTTTTACATGGTCGTTATGACATTTCCGCAATTGACTATTCAAAACATTGAATCCTTCATACTCGCTTACATTAGAGGGATTCCATCAGGTTGAGCAATAAAATAGATGGCGGAGAAAATGATGAGTCCAATTTGACAGGCTGAGGATTCTGGCTTCAGAAAGAGATTGGAAGCAAAAAAAGGTAATTGCTAAGTCTTGTAATCAACTAGTTGTTTTGCCCCCGAGTTGTCGTGGGAGAACTTAAGATTTTTTTTATTTTTTTGTGTTAATAATGGCTTCATACAGATGAAGAAGCAATCTGACACGAAATATGGATAAAAATATTACAGTGGAAAAGGAGTCGTATTTGGCTGAAAACAAAGCTAGTGTTTTTCATGCAGCAAAAATATAAGCTAACGAGAAGACAAATTATTCGTTGTGCTCAGCACGGCAGGGTAATCACGCCATCACTAATAGTTTTGCAGTTGCACAGAGATTATGTTTGGTGTATTAAGCAATGACCTGCCATTTTAACGCTGCAAACAAAACCACACTGTTTCAAAAGAATATTGCTACAGCCTGTTGCCGTCGGCAGCATTGGAAATACTCTAATTCCTGTGCCCAGACTCTTCGTTTTATCCAAGAATGTCTAATGAAGCAAGGTATAAACCATAAGGAGACTTGGCTCTAAAAGATGATGAAGATAATATTTCATAAAGCATGGTTGCAACATAGAAGATTTCTATATTCCTTGGAATGTTAAAAGCAGCGCAGCTCGAGCTGTCAAAATAGCTACAATATGTATCTCTAGATCGTGTGGATTGCCCTCACAAGGCCCTCTGTGCTCTGATGCTTCGGTAATTGAATGAGTTTCTTATTTGATAAAAATAAAAATTGTGATGGAAGTCTTCTTTAATAAATAAAGAGAGAATGAGTATAGTATGGTTGATATCAAGCATTCCATTGACAATTTTTCTTGTTCTCTACACAATCGAAGCTAACATCAGGAAGAAATGCTCGTCTTAACTACTATAAATTTGAGTGAAGTATCGACTGTAACAAGAAATTACAAGATTGAAGGAAAATGGTTAATGGAAAAAACAGATTGCCTGCCTCGTCTTTCTACTAGAAAAAAAAAATAGTAGTGATGCTCCTTTCAGAGTATGGCCTCCCGCCACCATTGATGCCTAAATAGTTTCACTCTGTGCATTGTCTCCCAAATATTTCGTTTCTGATGTTCCGCTACAACTTCAGCTACTCAGCAGAACAATCTTCTTTGCTGCAAAACAAAGACCTCATTATTGTCATGCTTGCACTAGAAAACCAGAGTAAGAATCAACTGAACTGTAGTGAGAGCTAGGTAAATGATTCAGCCTCAAATTACAAAATTTTAGTGCAAGTCAAAAAGACTACAGACTGCCATGAACACATTGAACAAAGCTTGCTGTATGTGCTCAAATGGAGGGCTCCCTTCATATTAATAACAAACTGGAACATGGGAACAAAGTAGTTCCTGCCAGGGTTCAAGCCTCACTAACCCTCATGCAAGGCTTGAATGAAAATCCCAGATAGGGATAAACAAAGAATAAACAGATACTCTTCATAGATGAAGTTTACTATGGATATAATCAACTATCACAGAACTACGTACACGACATTTAGACTCCCGTAAATTGTCTAGCAGCTCAGTGATCTGAAGTTGCTTTACCACTGTAGTATGCAGTACCTGAAAGCACAATGATTGTCAAAAAAATTGCATTCAGTACAATTAAAAGCCCAACTTTCACAATTATTAAACCATGTAGAACAAGACATACTCTCTTTGTTTTCTCAAGATCAAACTCCACAGACTTGATCCTCTCCAGAGATTCTGTTAGCATTTTATCCTTTTCCAAAGGGATTCCAGCAGGTTTGTTGCTAAGTTCCTCAAATATTTTCTCTAGTCTTTGAAGACGTTCTATACATGGACGTACATGATCTTCTTCATTCACAGCTTCAATAGCAGTTGAATGGATAACTGTGTTATGTTCCATCAAATTAGATGGATAAATGTTGTTCTGCCTTCTCAAATACTCTAATGGAAAACTACGAAAAAGTTTGACCACGAAAGATATCAGGGTTTTTGCTGTGCTTGGGATACTTGTTTTCCCGACCTTTTCCTTGACAATGTCAAACCAACGGATGAATAAACCTGAAATTAAGATACAAATCGCAAAAGACAGCAACAATACAAGTCATATTCAGCAACTAGATGGACTAAAATCAACACATGCAAGACTAATTCCAAAAGTCTTTTATATAGATCTCCTTTGCCATGAAGCAACGAGTTTATTGGATCTGAAATGGATGAAAGAAAACTGGTCAGCATTATGGAAGCATGAACAAATACCTTCCAGATTTGATGTCACTTGAAAGGGAATGTTCCCCAAATTGTTGATTCCAAGTGATTGACCCTCAGAACACCCCCCTCTATGAACAGTTTTCTCAGCCAGAATAAAATTTTCATCACAACTGTAGAAGATACTTGGATCAGATGCCCTCACCTGCGAGGATCAAGATTCACTTACAAAACAGAGCATAAGGATGTGCACGCATCTCACTTGCACAAACATGCAGCCATGCAAGCACAGACACATGCAAACTGGCATGCACACTCGTCCACACATAAGTTCAATGAGAAGGGAACTGTACTGAAAGATAAAGCTAGCTACAGGTTCTACAGCTTACCTCTTCATCAACTGGGGCCAAGCATACACATGTAGAACTCCTTGGTCCACATGGAGAAGAACGATCATCAATATCTGACCCTGATTTTGCTGTTAATTTATCACTGCTTTTTCCCTGGAAGAGAAAGAATAAACTAATATATAAGAACAAGAGATATTGATGACCACAAACACAGTTGGTTATCATGACATGGAAGACTTGCCTTCAGAGGGCATACCTGATTGTATGAGTCAATTTCCTGGTTAACATTAGACACACTGGAGATTTCCCTCACGACAGCTGGTACTGCATTATGTACAAGCTGTGAAAGACACAAACCCCAGTTAATTTCCAAATATAAGTTCAATATAAAAATACAAGTCTCCTTTCATGCTTTAATAATTCAACACAGAATCAATACAAGAAATTCTACTATCAGGGATTGCCTACCTTCATTATTCCAGGATCATTCCATGGACCTTTATTGGATCTAAGGCATCCTCCTTCAGCTGAGCAAGAGCAAGAACCACCTAAGAAGTCTGGCAATTGACTGAAACAGGAAAGGAGTATATTAATAATTTATTCTATAGAAAAACAGGAGGCACGTATAACAGTTGATACACACCTTGATTCAATAACTTCCAGGAGCTTAGGCAGGGATTTGGGCTCCAAAACCTGCATTTCAGAAATTGAATATAGCTAATCCGGATTGCAGGAATGAATGATGAGAAACTATATGATTACAGTCATATCCCTTACCTGTATCTTTGCAATAGTCTTTGCATCCAGAAACTTCTGTGCTGCTGGCCAGAGCATCTTCTTAAAGCCTGGACCAGCATTAACAACAAACATCCGATGCAATGTCTGTATGATGTGTGGACAGCTATTAGAAACAAATTAGATAGTGAAGAAAAAAACTATCAATTAACTACAACACTTTGATACCTCGGGGTAGTAACTGTTATCTATCTTCGTTATGGAAGCCAAAAGAGTTGCAGCAGTCCGAGTAAAATTCTTCATGCCCTGTTTTTAACACAGCATTAATCACCAGTTCAAACTATGCATATAACCAGTTGAAAGAAACATAAACCACCAGTAACAGTGGAGGAAAGGAAATCTATCAACATCCTACATTCCTACTAGTATACAAATTAATCTCCCAATTGATTCAATAGAGGCTGCTAGAAAACCTACAATGAGACTAAACACTCTAAAAGTAGATTTCAGAACAGATTTCACAGAGCTCTTTAAGGTGCATAGAGTAG